GGAGACACAGCAAGTCCTAGCCCTCGCTCACTGTATAACCCTACAGCCAGCTGTCCTGGCACAACATAACCGGGGGAACTCATGTGTCAGCAACTGCTGAAATTACCACAACTGCCAAGAACTTCCCAGGGCTGTTTCAAGTTCCTCAGTTTAGGTGTTACTTATTTCCCTGTTTCCAGAACACCTTATGTATCCAGGGCTAACGAGCTTGGTCAATGCTCTACTGAATTAAATGTCCCCATGTCGCAGACAACATGAAGTTTAGAAGTGATACATCACAGGCTGTCAGCTGGTACTTGTTTGTCCAGTTAGCTTCACAGGAGCAACTGGCCTGGTACTCCTCAAGGCAAGGTGACACTTTTAAGGTTTTAAAAAAACTTTTAAAATTAATTTTGCTGTTTAAGGGAAAATTTTTTTTTACAATAATCCTTTGACTGGTATTCCTCAACGAAGCATTAGTGTCAGGGCTCCTGGAACCATTCAAACTAACTCATAACCTGCTGTTAATAATGTACCCTGAAAACGCCTGCACCTTTTTCTGATGCCTGTTTGGCTTTACTGTAATCAGCAGCTCTTTTTCTATTGCAACAAAGTAAAAACAGAGCCTACCAAAGGAAGTTAAGGCATTCCATTTTCTTTACTTAGGAGGAAGAGGTATAACTAAAAATGGCAGTATTAAATCCACTAAATCATTGATACTAGAGAGTATCTGACAATATTATCAGTACTATGCTCAGCTTATGGTATGGTGATGGGTTTTGCAGATACAGCTTCACTTCTGAGACCTAAATTATTTTTCCTAGTGGTCTCCAATTCATGACTGCAGAAAAGTTTCATGTCATTGCCCCAGAGTAACAAATACTTTTTATTATATATGCTTATTTAATCCCAATGTAATTAAATATAGCTATGGGTGTGTTAGCCCTTATAAACAAATCCAAATGTTGTAATTAGAATGTAATTAGTAATTGAGAAGTATAAGAGGGAAACAAAGCCTTCTTGCTGCTTGACAGCTGTGTTGGCTGTAGCCATTTTCAGAGCTGGGAGAGGAAGAAGAGAAATTTGAGTTAATTTAAAGCACTCCTAAAATTAGTAGATATTACTAGCTGAAGGATTTTTATAATTGCATACCATGACTACTTAATTACCAAAGCTGAAAAATGATGACCTCATAATCTTTCATTTGCTGTCCTGGACCTGCTCTCTTCCGTTCTACATTAAAAACCAGTATCATATAGTCCAAAGTGGAGGCCCAACTTCTTGTCACACTTTTTATATTTTTTTTAACTTCCCACATTGAATTTGTCTGTCATTGATGTTATTTTAGCAACAAAGTTTGCATGAATTTTGGTGATTCTCCTAAAAAGATATAGCTGCCTTGGTTTTTAGTCTTCCACTTAAGTTTGATGTACTGGGTAAGTTACATTGCATTACCATTAAATGCACCGTATAACTGATCTGCATCTGGGTATCTACTTTCTTATCATTCCCCCTTACATTCACTGATGCTAATTACCTATTGCCTGTGGATTCGGACTTTTTATTCCTCCTCTTCAAACTGAAAAATGTAGAAGAATTAAAAACTTCATCCATTTGCATTCAACTTGGGTAAAACGGTATGACAAAGGTAAAGACTGATTAAATCAGGAAGCCAAACTCTGAGGTGACGAAGTTTCTCTGTTTAGCCCGAGAAAGGCTGCTATAAAGAAATACAAATTTTGAGGGAAGCATTAAATATAGTTTTCCTAAATATGTCATTAATCTAACCTAATACCAAACCTTTGCTTGCAGGTACCACAACTTCCTGGCTTTTCCTGGCTAAAGCCCTGCCTTTCAGCATCTAATATTGTGTACATTGGTTTGAGGGATGTGGATCCTGCTGA